AAGACCCAAGCCTGGAAGGGACCTCAAGAGGTCATGTAGTCCAGGCCCCCTCACACAGGCTAGCCCCCTGGATCTCTGGGCTTTTCGAGCCTTGGATCCCCAGCTCCCCACAGAGGGATCAGAAGCAGGAGGTGAGGAGAACAAATTTTCTGAAAGGATGCCAATACAAAGAGAAAAACAAAAACCTGAGCTGCTCTTTATTCAAGAGAAGGGTGGAGTATGAGTCCTCCCAGAGGTGGGGTCAGCTTTCAGCTGTTCTCATCGCTCTACAGGTGAAAGTAGCTTCCAGGCAAACCTGAGTCAACACCAGCCTCACCTGCAGGACATCCCACAGGAGGGGAGGGGTAGAAGCCAAAGGTGCCAAGAGGCCACTGTGCCCACAGGAGGCTAATGATGTTCACTTAAATAAATATGGCTCTTCACTGGGCAAATAGCTTCTGAGCCCCTACTCTCTGACTCCTACTGTACCAGGTGCTGTGTGTGGCCCAGGACCTGCTGCCATCTTACTGGGGAAATGGTTTAAGACACCTGACACGACCTCAAGCAAGAAATTCGACATACTATGCCATTTGATTGTAAGCTCCCTGAGGGCAGGAACTGTCTTTTGCCTCTTTCTGTATCCCTAGTGCTTAGCATAGTATCTGGCACCTAGTAGGCAGTAGAAACTAAATGTTTATGGATTGTCTGCCTCTCCTTTTTAGTTCCCTTTGGATGTGATGTCTGGAGGAAAATCTCTCTATGGGAAAGATGTGAATTTACTCTGCACAAAGTGTTTCTCAGCCTGGTGGACTTTTTCAATGGCTCAAAATATCATATGAGTTCAAGGTGAAAATCCTCTTCCCCCTAAAAAATTCCTTCAAAAATTAATTGTAATTCATTTTATTTATGAAATATAAAAACACAAACCTTTTCCCAAAAAAATTCTCTGAAGGAATTAATTTTAAAAGTTATTTTTCATACTAAAAATAAGAGTGAAATTAAAATAAATCTGTTGAAATTTTTTTTTAATTTCACCTTGAATTCATTTTCCCTACTCATCATTCAGGTCCTACCCTGTTACCCTGTCATTCTGTCATGGAATGAAGCTGTAACTTGAATTACTGACAGCTTGTATTCCACTGAAGCTGAAAGCACAGAGAATCTCAAGTGGTGGAAAGGGGCTCAGAGACCCAGATCTAGTCCAATTGGTACCTAAAATGGGGATCTCTTTTAAAACCTCTAACAACTCAAGGTCACACAGCCTCAGCTCAATTACCTCCAAAGGATGAGCAACTTCTGAAGCAATCCCTTCTACTTTTGGACAGCTCTAACTTATTGGGAAGTGTATCCTTGTAATGTCCCATAACCTATTTCTGGGCCACTTCCATGCAATGCTCCCAGCTCTACCCTCGGAGGCCAAGCAGAACAATTGTAATCACTCTTCTATAAGACAGCTTCTCAAATACTTGTAGACAACTAGCAAGGGTCCCTTAAGTATTCTCCTCTTCCCGCTAAATATCCCCAGATCCTTCTAATTTTCCTGCGGCATGGTTTAAGCTCTCACCATCGTGGCCACACTATTTGGGGCTCACTGAAGTTTGTCAACATCTTTTCTGAAGCGTGGGCGCTGTACTAGGCTGGAAAGGTTTCCAAACACGGACGCTGCCAAAGACGGTCACATGAAGACCCTTCTTGCAAAGTTCAGAGAAGATCCTCACTACAAGGTTGGCCAGCAATGACAATGATTTTCAGTATGGCCATAGCAACAGGTGAAAAACATCTACTAAGAATATGAAGGACCTTAGTTTGCATCAGTAAGAAGAGTGTCTATACCTGTGAAGTTATGGGTTCTTTGAAACTGTGAAGTACCTTTCATACTTTCACTCTGAAATGTGAGTAAGAAACTAGCTGTCTTATCTTTAAGATACTCTAGGGATCAAGGAAGGCATGTCTAGAGAATGGGATTGAGTCTCAAAAGAGCATTTGCAAAACAATGCAAATTATACAGTTTCAAAGAACATCATATTCAGAGTACCAGAAGCAGCTCTAAAGCTTCTAGACCAGGGATGGGGAACCTGCAGCCTCAATGTGGCCTTCTAGGTGCTCAAGTGTGGCCTTTGGACCGAGTCCAAGTTTTACAGAATAAATCCTTTTATTAAGGGGATTTGTTCTGTTAAGTTTGGATTCAGTCAAAGGGCTGCACTTGAGGACTTAGAGGGCCACATGTGGCCTCGAGGCAGAAGGTTCCCCACCCCCATTCTAGACATTATTCCACCACATCCAGGAATCTCCCAAAGGTCCTAAATGGGGCTGTCACAATCCAGGTAACAAAGTACCCCCTTCAGCAGTTGGAAAGCACAGAGACAAAGCAGGGAGAGGACAGTCAGTCAGTCAAACATTTGTTAAATGCTGCCATTCACTGTGCTAAGCACTGGGGATACAAAGGAAGGCAAAAGACAGACTCTTCTCTCAAAGAGCTCACAGTCTAATGGGGGAGCCAATATACAAGCTATATACAGAATAAATTGGAAACAATCAACCCAGGGAAGACAGTATAGCAGGATAAAATTATTGCCATTTCTTGAGAAAAGTCAATCAAGAATGTCTCCCCCACCTCCCCTACCTTGAATTTCATAAAAAAAGAGACAAAAGACCAGTGCAAAGAAAAAAAAAAAAGGGTCAAAAATTATGCTCTTTTGTTTTATTGTGCCTTTTGTCACAGTATTCAAAACAAATTGACAAAAGTACGACATTTTCAAAAGAAATTTCTAAGACCAAAATAGTCCAGCAGCCAATTCTATAAAAATTCACCAGATCAAGGTGAATTATCAAGCAAGGCAACAAGATCTGGAGGTACCTACCAATTGCAGGGAAAGGAGATCCTGGGATATAGGTGTGGCCACAGACTGCTGTTTGGAGAACCACAAGAATGGGGCTGACAGATCTCCGCTGGAGAACTCAATGATGTGTAAATTACATCCTGGCCACAAGCCCAATACAGGAGATTCAAAGGGTCAAGGGTGTGTTTCTAATTGGTACCTTGGGAGACCCAAATGATAAAAGATGGGAGATTTTCAGAAAAGAGTTTACAGTTAATAATTTGGTGTAATTCAGGACAGTTACTAAAAAGTAGGCTTCACCTTCCCTTGGAGCAGTCAAGTTTACAGAATAGAAAACTGAGGATTTTATTTACTGAGCTAACCTAGTTTGACGCTCAGATGCTCCACCGGTAAGATAGGGATGCTACTACCTGCCACCTACATGGCGAGGGATACAGATCGGTGTTGGAGATCCTTAAATGAGAAAGGAAGGTGCCCTCTTAGCAGAAAAGAATCCTATTTTCTTCTTATTTAGCACAATTTTGTACTGTGCCTTTCAATCTCATCTATTAGTTCTGCCTCAACAACTGGAAAGTTCTATTTCCCATCTTTTTTTTTTTTTACATCGACTAAACTGAGGGTCTGAGAGATTAGCTAACTTGACAAAACAAGTTACTAAGAGAATGTGTGAGGATTACAACTCCCTAGACTCAAGGGTCCATCTGATTTCGATAATTTTGCCACCTCCACCCACCCCAGTCACACATTACATCATTTCTTTCATTTAAAGGAGAAGAAAAGGACCTACACAACTTGAAATGTTTCTCCATGCTTTCTGACTGACGCTGCATCAGAAAGTAAGATCATGGTCCCTCTGCACATATTTCCGATTCACCTCTGATATCCTTGGGCAGGTGCAATTGTACCAGAAAATGCCTAAGCCCACGTTTTCTGGTGGAAAGATACCTCTCATCTCTTCAAACAAACAAACAAAAAAACCTGGTGTGCATTTTAACATCACCTGGCATTCAAAAAGGAGAATTGGCAAAAATCGTCTCAAAGCTGAGCACCTTTTCTTTAAAAGAAAGAACAGTTCTAGTTTGTAGTTTTTATAAGAATCTTCCTGGAAAAGTCAAGTTTCGTTATTCAGACCCCCCCCCCTTTCTTTTTTAGCAAAACGACCTTCAAATGCGTTCAGAGACACGTTTTGATAACACGCTAAGAAGACGTCCTAATTTAAGGCACTTCCAGCATGAGTGCTACCCCTCCCACTTTACCCTCTCTCTACAGGGAGCGGGTGGAGGGCTGGGGGAGATGCCTGAAGAATACCAATACTGCCTCCAAGTTGGAGAAGATGGTCAATGTCACACAGCAGTTCTTCCAAGCTGGGGGCCCCCGGGCTCCCAAAGATAAATGTGGGGATCTGTGCCTTTGAGAGGATGACAACCGTTGAGGTTTTCATTGCTTTAGTATGCAGCCACACGAGTTTTCCTACCTCTCCTGCCACAATGTGGGCAAAGCCCACGAGACTCCCGGGACACCCAGGCGGAGGGGGGACTGTCAGAAATCCAAGGCGCGCTGCCCAGCACACAGCCAGGGCTGAATTAACGTCTGCTGGACTAGGCTGAGCGCAGTGGACCCTGCCCCTTCGGCCACACCGGATCCACGACCCCAGGCCAGGGCTCGGATCCGACTCTACTCGCCAGGGAAGGTACGATCGGCTCAGGCTGAGGGCGACCCCCCCCCCCCACGAGGGTGTCTGGCATTCCAGGAGCCAGAAGCGCTAGGGGCGTGCGGCTCGCAGCCCGCTGAACTGTAACCCTTTGTTAGGCTGGGCAGCGCCCAAGGTCAGCTCGACTCTCGCCAAGTCCTCAGGGGCCGAGCCTCCAGCCGCCCCCTCCCACCCCTGCTCCGCCGGGAAGAGGAGGGGGCGTGCGGCTCCCCCTCCCCTCTCCCGCCCACCTCCGTGGAGGGAGAACCGAAGACGTCTGGAGCATTCATTAATCAAACTGCTTCACTCCACGGGGAGGCTGCAGGGAGCCCGGCGCGCCCGGCGCCCCCCATCTTTCCCCGTACCCCGGCGCGGAGGGGGGATATTAAACTGCCGGTGGCCCGGGAGGGGAAGGGAGGGAAGGAAAAGGGTGGCCCCTTGGGGTGGCAGAGGGCGGAGAGCGCGTGCCTCGGCCACCTGGGGATTCTCACCTAAGGTGGGCGCGCCCTGGCACAACCAGAAACCCAGCAGCAGGCAGAGCGGGGCAGGACGCAGGGCGGTCATCTTCTCAGTCGCCTCCTCCTCCGCCCGAGCTGATACACATGGAGTGGGGGGTCCCTGCCGGGGAGCCCCCCCACTGTCGGGCTGCAGCCGCGGCGGTAGGAGTCTCCTGCGGGGGCCCCGGGCCGGTCAAGCGCAGCGCCTAGACGACCCCGCGCCCCGGGGTACGCGCAGAACCAGCACCAGCTCCAGCCGCCGCCGCCCGGAGTTTGGCAGAAAGTTTCTGCGGCTCTGAACCTCGTGTGTCCTTCCGCCTCGGCCCTCCTCCCCCTGGGGAAAGCCCCGCCCTCCTCCCCCCCCAGCTCTCCTCCTCCTCCTCCTCCTCCTCCTCTTCCTCCTCCTCCTCGCCGCCCCAGCAGCCGCGGCCGCCTTCCGTACCCCGGGGTTTCCCGCACGAAAGAGTTCCGGCACGATTTCCCCGCGGAGGGATCTACTACGCTCAGCCCTGCTCCCCCCAATTCCTGCTCTGCGCGGGTTGGGGCAGAGGCTCTGGTTTAACCCCATCGATGCTGGAGATCTCGCTTGCGCTGGCCGGAGCGGGTGCTGATGGAGGAGAGTGACGGGCGTGGGGCGCATCTCTGTAGGAGAGACGAATGCATCACTCAGGACGCACAGGGATGCCCGGTGTGACTAAAGAGATTTGAATAGGGGTCAGAAGACCCGAGCCCTCTCCCTGGGTGACCTTGGGAAGGTCCTAGCACCTCCGATTTACAGCTGGAAGAGACGGGAGCAGCCTCTCCCATTACCTTTAGGCTGTGCTGCGGTGCACAAAGAGCTGGATTGGAGTTCAAATCCTGATTATTCTGCTTATTACTTGGGCGACTTTGGACAAGTCATTTAATTTTTCTTGGTCTCAGTTTCCTCGTGTGTAAAAAAAATAGTAGCTACTACACTTCTATTTGTGTGACCATGTCACACAACATGTCATTTAATCTCTATTGGCTTCAGGTTGTCGTGTTAGTCATTTTTCGGTCCTGTCCGACTCTTCGTGACCCCATTTGGGGTTTTATTGGCAAAGATAATGGAATGGTTTGCCATTTTCTTCTCCAGCTCATTTTACAGATGAGGAAACTGAGGCAAATAGGGTTAAGTGACTTGCCCAGGGTCACACAACTAGTAAGTATTGGATTTGAACTCAGGTCTTCCCACCTCTAAGCCCCGAGCTATTACCCACTGTACCACCTATCTGCCCAAGCCTCAGTTTCCTTATATATAAAAGAAGGGAGTTGGATCTCTTTAAGATTTCTTCCAGGTCAGACCCCTATGATTCCAGGTATAGATAATGATGCCCTTACAAGGTTTGTGCGTCGTTAGACCCAAAGGTAACATGTTAGTGTCATGGAGGAGAACCATGGTTAAGAAGAAATTTTGGGAATGGGAAGCAGAACAGAGTAGAGATAGCTTACACCATTCTTTAAACAAATATTTATTGAGGTTTTTCAACTCGGAGGACTGTGATATAGGACTGTGATACCTATGAGCCCCTACCAGAGGTGAGCTGGTAAATGTTTAACAAACTGCTCTCCAAAAAATGAAAAAAGTATGTACCCATAACACACTTTTAAATTTAATCCGCATTTTTACCATTTTCTCCATCACTTTCTAAAGTCTAGACAACCAACAAAACAATAAATCAAGTCCTGATTTGTTTGCTGATTTCTGAGGTATAAATATTCAAACTCTAGTACATCCCTATCCCCACCCCTCAATGAACTTACAATCTAGTCGCCAACGCAGACACTCACTAAAAAGTCAAGTAAAGATACAAGATATGATTAGAGCAAAATGATTGGAGCAGATGTGCCCAGAGAAGGGGGAGACACTGTGGGCTGGGGTAATAAGGTAAACAGCACCCAGGAAGTAGGACTTGATCTGGTCCTTGAAAAATGGGTAGGATCTAAAGAAGAGACTAGGTATTCTAGCTAGGGGACATAGAACATGCAAAGAGGGGAAGCAGAGAGCTTGTGCCTAGAAAAGCAGCAAGAATAAGTCAGGAAAGGCAGATTGGAGTCAGATGATGGATAGATTGGAATGCCAGCTTAAAATTTAGCTTGTTAACAATGGGAGGCCACTGAAAGATTTTGAGCCAAAAAGTGGCGCAAGAACATAGAAGAGTAGAGAAATGTGACTTCAAAGATCATTTATCACTCAGTGAAAAGGAAACTGAGTCATAGAGTGGGTAAATGATTTGCCCATGGATGACCTCAGTAGTACATGGAAAAACAGAGGCACTTACTACAATTCACCAAATATTTATTGAGCCCCTGCTGTGTTCAGAGCACCGTGCTAGGTACTGGGAGAGAGGCTTTTTTTTTTTTTTGGCTAAGATATGGAACTAACAGCCTAGTGGGGAGATAGGAAATACAAGTTACTATAATATAAAAATTATAGCTCACATTTATATATTAATTTACAGTTTAGAGTGCTTTGGCCCCACAAAAATCCTTTTTTTCTTTTTTTTTTTAAACAGGGTATGTGTGTATGCGTGTGTCTGGACTTATGATTTCCCTGGAGAACTCCAGATGTGGAAACTATACCTTCAAAATCATGGAGCAGTTCCCAAAACTGGTCTATATAATTTGTAACTTTAGAGACTTTCCTGGGGCTGGGAAAAATTAAGTGGCTTGCCCATAATCACACAGCTAGTATGTGTCAGAATCAAGGCTTGAACCCAGATCCTTCCAATTCCAAAGCCAGCCTCTAACCGCTACACCCAGACACAAATACCATTGCTCCATTTTGCAGATTAGGAAACTAAGAATCGGGGAGGGTACATGATTTACCATGGTCGCATAGCTGGTGAGTGGCATGGTCAAGATTCCAATCCAGGTCTCGAAGCCAAAATGAGCTAATGCAATCCTGAAGTACATTAGGAGAAGCGTAACTACCAGCAATTGGGAAGCTATGGGTCCATTGTACTCTGCCTTGCATCAGACCTCAAATGGAGTCTTGTGTTCTGTCAATGGTTGTTGTTGATAACCTTGATAAAGAGTATCCAAAGATGGGCAACTAGCATGGCGAAGAGTCTGGAGTCTGGGTTATATGAGTTTTAAGTTGATGGAACTGGGCATACTTAATATGGAGAAAAGATTACTCCAGGCAGATAGAACAGCTTCTTCACGAACTCAAAGGGCTTTCATTGGGAAAGCCATTTCTCTGTTTAGTCCTAGAGGGCAAAGCCAAAAGCAATGGGTAGAAGTAAAAAAATACAAAACAAAACAAAACAAATTTGGGCTTGATTTCCTAACAATTAGAGCTTTTCAAAAGTAGAATGGGATGCCTTAAGAGGGAATGGGTTCCCCTTCCCTTTCCTTTTCCTTAAACAAAGGCTACGTAACCACTGTGAGCAGGGATTCTTTTCATGGCCAGGTTGAACTAGAAAGACCCTGAGATGTTCTCCAAGTCTTCCATTCCTTGATTTTGTCCTTTGACTCCGGGCCAGTATTCCTTCCACTACCACAATACCTCACGGTGCATCATCTGGAAAGTGAGGCTAACCAGCTGGTGGTGTGTAGGATGGATTAGAGTAAGAAGCAACTGAAGACAAGGGAGTATTTGCCATAATCTTCGTGCGACATGATGAGTCCCTTAAAGGAGGGTAATAGAAAGGAACAGGTAGATGTGAGAGATGTTGTAGTTGGCATTGAGGGGGACACACACTCGCCAGTCTTTTAGTATGGTTAGTTTGCATTAAGTGCTGGTAAAAATTGTCTATACCTTAATGATTTCACTGCAGTATGAGTCTTATCAGTTTTATACGGTCAGGACCTCATTTTTATAAGTTCACCTGTGGGAAATCAGGTTCTAGAAGACTGATTCAGCCCAACCTAGCTCCCCAAAGAGTCAATGATCAAACCAGAATGACAATTTAGTAATTTTATGCTGAAAAATAGAATTAGAAATTAGACTAAAATACGTAATGTTGACTACTCAGCACATGTACTTCCTGGTAGGAAAGTCCCCTTAGGATTAGGATCAGAAAGTTGCTTAGTAGGCCCAGGATTCATAAAGCTCCATAGCCAGGTGATCTCATTGAACAAAGTATGATAGCCTGATATTCCAGCTTCACTGGAAGGATATGTCTGCCAATCAGACTGGATACTTGTAGGCTACCCAGTATACTCTCTCCCCTGAATGATGTTGAAAACACAGAGACAAATTTTTACTTCTTGGCTCTTCTTCAAGACTTTCTACAGACCACCACCCTTCTGTTACAGTAGCATTGCTCCAGATGTAATGAATATGGTGCCCAGCCACGGTCATTATGTTTTAGTTTGGTAAGATCTGAGAAGATACCTAACCTTGCTGAGAATGCCAGGACAGAATCTGGGAGGCCACATCTTACTAACCATCTCAGAGGGTAGCATCTTTTTTACCTCGTCCTTGTATTTGAGGTTAGATCCTGTTTAATACTTTGTAGTGATTATAGCTCTCTGAAGTTCTTGTGGTGTGTATGAGTAAATTGGCCCTGTTTGGGAAATCACTCATAAATATGCATTATTTATGCATACATATTATATATATGTAATAGATACATATATACATATGATCAGAAGTAAGATCTATGAGTAGAATTAAGCCTCATCCCATCACCAACAAAAATTAGCACATGAGAAGATATCATCAAGGATGTGTGAAAGGGAAGAAGGAAGTAGGTGGGTCATGTGTTGAGTGTGAGAGTTAACAGCTGGGCAGTCCATATATTGCCCTGGCACCCACAAACTATTAAGAGGATCAGAGGAAGGACTTCAGAACGTTGGGTGGGTCCTCAGCAGAGAATTTACAGGAAGAAATAGACAAGAATCACACCATCTGAGAAATCCTGAAGAGGTTACGTGAGATCCATCCACAGATGAGATCCATCTAAATTTAAGTGCTGAATTTAATATAATATAATCTCACAGATAATAAAATCTCATAGATAATATAATCTCATAGATTATATTATATAAATCCTTAAAACTAGCTAATTGTCCATAATGGAACAGCTGGTGAATTCATAAATCTTATACTTCTCTTTATTGTCTACCTTTAAAGCTAATTATTGTTAGTTTAAGTAAGGCTTGTGTGCTTCAATTCACAGTATAAGCAAAAAACATGACT